CCATTCAAGCCGTCTCCAGCCATTATTAGTCTCAAAGTGGGTTCCTCGTCATCGAAATAGAGCTCTGCTTTCGCAGCCAAATACAATTGTCGTTGTTCTATTGGTGGAAATGGCAGAAAGTTGTTATTTCATGATTTGAGTATCATTACTGCCAGGTGTCACCAAATGTGCACATAAACAATAGTGCCATGCCTTGGCTTCTGACACTGAGTGGTGCAAGGAAAAGTCATGAAGCTCATCATCGTCCTAAATTTTGCATTTATCTGTTAATAAAAATACAGTTTAGAATTTTATTTTTTAATACAAAAAATGCAAAAATAGGTACGTAAAGATGTTATTACAACATTCTGTATCAAACAGGAACATAGAAAGGTGACTTGTAGGGGTATATACTGTGCCTTTGAGGCCCTAGTCTGATCCCAAAGTTGACACCCAGTAATACGACCACCCCACTATGTAGCCATTAATTGCTTAGACCCACAGCTGACTGGATAAACAGGACTGGACTGTATTGACTCGGCTCCAAGATCACAAGTGATTTAACTTTGCATATGGGATTGGTCATTTTGACCAACCTTATAACCACCATGTGACCATACAATTATACATACTATATCTCTGAATCTACTAAGTTTATCTTTATGAGAGTTAGCAAGCTTTTAGTAAATATTTTAAGCCTGTTGTACACAAAAGATCAGATTTTTTTTAGTGAAGTATTTCTGTTAAAGATTTGTCTGTGAATGTATGAAGCCTGAATGACAGTGATTTTCATGCTAAGAATAAAAATACTTCTTTTTATCTTAGTTTTTCATATTTCATTAGCATAACCTCAAGAACATCCTGAATAAATATAAGTTTTTTTACAACAATAAATTAAAATATTCCTCAGAAAAACAGGAAATGCAGAACTCATTTTAGCTCAAAGCCGTTTAACAGTAGAGTTCCTGCTTTTCTAACCCTAGTTTTTTTCCTACTGTAGTTGTCCAAAAATAATTCATGTAGTTTTTCAATTATGAATTTTAAAAAACCAAAAACATGTATCAATCATTAGGTTATATTGTACAAAAATGATTGTAATTCTTTGGATTTTGTATTATGTAAATCTATAACTAGGTATAAAAACTATTACTTCTTGGATCAATATCTTTGATCCATACCTGGCGAGCCCTGCTGGAAAGTTATTGACTTTTGTGGCTTAAATAAAATAGACAATCATATGATTTACACAACATACAATTTGCCCTTTTTACTGGTTATAAATGTGACCAATATGAATGTCAAAGAGAATAAAACATTTTTGAAAAGATGTGGTAAAGAGGGGTGTAGCTTGTGGGTTTGACTTTATTGTTTGTATCTTGATAAAGCAAGAAGCTTGGAATCTATAGGTTTACTTTATGGCTTATCAATATCTGTACTATAAATATGTAATTTGTGACAAACACAGAAGATTGTGTAGTGGTAGAAAAAAAATGGTTGATTCAAAGCAAAAATGTGTCACATGATAAAGATAAATTAATTTTTAAAATTTATTTAAATATCTCCTTTTGAAATAGAATTAAAACTTAGCTAATATTAAAATCTAAGTTTGGAAATTGTATAACAAAAAAACATTTAGTTTAAATTACAGCTTTTGATGCTACCAACTTCAGAATTTCACTGTTTTAAAAACCATTTGAGCTAGAAATTAGCAACAACTATGTAAAAAGCCACATGTTTCAGGTATGTTTCATATGTTGACAACTTTTATCTGGCCAGATAAAAGTTTATTTCTACTCACCAAATAAAAGAGCAATTAGGGGCAAAAAAGCAATAAATTAAAATTAAGTTTAACAGTTTGAATCTTTTTTATCACTTCCTCCAAAATAAATGTTAATAAAATTTGTATAAAAAAAAAAATTCTAAACTTGAGCATTTCAGTTAATTTTGTTTTGTAGTTGATTTGAGGAGGGGGCAATTGGACAGAACATTTGAAAACATGATACTGTATCTTCATATAAAAAAAAATAAAAGATACTGAACTCTTGAAAGGTTAAATGGTGTTTTGTATTTATTTTCTTCATTCGTTGCCTGTTATATTAGTCAATCCAGCAATGTTTTTATCACCATTGTTTTTACATATATCAGAATCAAGCATTTAATAACAGCACAAGTTTTGATTGTTATTAATTAATTATATTTTTCTAATTATTTAGCATTGATTTTCCTTGAGGATTAGTGTATTGTATTAAGAAGGGTGAGTTTAGTTATTAGTTAATTATATTTTGCTAATTATTTAGCATTGATTTTGCTTGAGGTTTAATGCATTGAATTAAGAAATGTGAGCTGTGCAAGTCATTTAGACTTACCCAGTAGGGTAAAACTTACTTTTTACTTCATCTCTGTTGCATTCAATTATTTTGTATAGTTGGTGTTTTGGTTATTAGATTATCGAAATTTTTGCACTAAGATCTGCATGTTTTTCAGTTGTTTAAGTATGTAAAATCTTATTCAATCTTAAAGGTTCATATTTCACTCTCAAACTTTTATACAATTCTCTCCCCTCATTATTATTATTATTCTTTTTCTCAGGGAGAGTTTCAAACCCAGAAGGAAGCTGCCTGGGCCATCAGTAATCTAACCATTAGTGGAACAAAAGCACAGGTGGCATATTTAGTTAGTCAGGGTGTTATTGCTCCTCTCTGTAATCTGTTAGTAGTACGTGACCCTCAGGTTGTGCAGGTTGTTCTGGATGGAATAAATAATATCCTTAAGCTTGCTGAAAGGCAATTCTACAATATTGCTAGCCAAATAGAAGAATGTGGAGGTACGTTAACAATTTCTCTGTAGGAAGTGTTAGTGAAATGTAGTGTAAGGTTTTAAGTGTTTAAGTAGCTAAAAAAAAGGTTATAAATTCATAAAACAATGACAACTTCATGTTTACTTAAATTCAAAAACGTAAAGGTACAGTGTTATAACAGACACACAAGAAAGTAATAAAGCTCTTTTGCTTCATTTTCTCTACTATGATGTAGGTATAGGTATAGCTAAAATTAAGTTTTTGCCATTTATACAAGTCACTTTATTGATAATAACAGTAATAACAAATTTCTGGTTTACAAAATTAGAAAAGTAAAGAGTGAATATAACTAGATTAAGAAGAAAAATATGTTAATTTCCACAGGTTTGACTTTTTTATGTGAAAACTTAAGTTTCATAAAAACAAATTTTGAATCTAGGGTAAAAAAACAAACAAACCCAATCAGATAATTTAAGATCATGGTTATAAGACTTATCTCTTTACACACCCATTTGTTTCTTTATTACAGGGCTTGATAAAATTGAACAACTACAAAATCATGAAAATGAAGAAATCTACAAACTGGCATATGAAATTATAGACCAGTACTTTTCTGATGATGTAAGTTGTTATTTTCTTGTATAGTTATCAGTAAAAATTTCATTTTTAGATATTAAGGTTTTATATTTAACTTTAGATATGCATTAAATTTTGTATAACTATTTAATGGGAACTCTATACTTAACATTTTCATCTTAAGTCAGCATGATTTTCAAGGTTGTCAGTATTTTCATTAAAATATTGATTCCATTCTCCCCTCAGGCATCCCACCTAAATATATAACAAATAATTTATGTAGTAGCTAGATGTCCTCAGCTGGGATGGCAGTAAGTCTACGTATTTACAACACTAAAATTAAAGGTTTGATTCCCCTTGGTGGACACAGCCGATAGCCTGATGTGATGGTGCTATAAGAAAACACATATAGTAGCTAGATGAAAAATGTGTTGTATGTTTTAAGGGAAGAAAAAGGTTTTAGGTTTGATAATAATTGTGAAACAAACCTTTTTATTGAAAATATAAAATGGATGCTTTTTGATAAGTGTATACTGAATGATGTCAAAAATTCACGTTGTCAACAACTTAATACAGGAAAACAGGACAGAACATCATATCTCTGGATAGATTTTGTTTATGAAGTTTTCTCATTTTGTAACATCCAATAGTGTGTGATTTTGTATTTCCATTGTTGCAAAAAATAAATGTTTATAAATATATTCACATTTTTTTGCTTTGGTAAACTATTTGGATCTTGATAGTAAAAGTTTTTTTTTATATATTGATAACTTATTTAATTTTTCTTTATCATAAATTTCATTTGCTATTATGAGTTCTAATGTTTACAATTTTTTAATTTATGCTATAATTATGGAGATTATTTTGCATTATTAACTCAGATGTGGAGTTCCCTTGTGGCCCAGCTTAAATATTATTTATTCCTAGGAATAAAACAAAACAGAAAATTATCTTGCTTTTTAGGTCTGATTCATAAGGTTAATTTTTTTTCTAGCGAACCCATTGGTCTATGGCTCATACTTACAGGGCTGCTGTAATGCAAGTTTAATTTCTTTAACCAAGTTAGGAATGGTAATTAGGAAGCCTACTTATTTACGTGCTCTAATGTAAATAAATGCCAAAATTGAGGTCTGATTTTGGGGAATTCCCATAAGTGTTTTTGCAAAATACCCAGGTTTCCTAAGAGGTTGCTTGTCTCAGGACTGAGACAGTTCATTTGGTACCACTTAAAAGTCTGTGTGACCAGCAGTTTAGGCGGAATATGTGTGACAGACACACAGACAGACACTAAATCTTATTATATAGATATTTGTGAATAAATGAAATCCTATTACTGTATACAAGCTTACAACTTTAAGGAAGCAATGGTTTGTCATGTTGGAAGGCATTGACTCTTTTTTGCTTTTTCAAATCATTGTAATTAATTATTACCATATCAATTATTTCTTACTTTTTTAGAAGAGATTATTGTACAAAGTTTTATATTTAAGAAAATTTATCCATTGAAGTTTATTGTTATATGTAGTATAACTAGAACCTGTTAAAAGCAATGCTTGCTTATACTACTTGAAAATATTTTCTTATTAAAGTGAACTGTTAAATATTTGTTTTAACATAGTATATTTACTCAAAATTACTATAATACTGATCTTTTATTATAGAATTAAATTTACTTAATCTGTAAAGTTGGAATTGATTTATCTTTCTAAACTTTTTAATTTGATTCTTAACTTAGTATTTAACTCTGTAGAAAAAACTTTGTTCCTTCTAATATAGTTTTTTGAAAATAAGTAGGAAAAAGAGATTTGTTATCCACACAGTCATTACTTACAGGCTGATGAAGATCCCAGTGTGGTGCCCCAATCATCAGAGCAGAGCTATCAGTTTGATCCTAATTCCAGCATCCCCACAGAGGGTTTTAAGTTTTAGCAGCAACTGCAAATATAGCAGAACCATATTCAAGTAAACAGGGCAGTGCAAGTCTTACCAGATCCAGTAAATTGTGTTCATTCTGAGCTTGCTACTAAAATAACTAAAAAAAAAATGTTTTTGGCTCAGACATATGTTGTGACAACTGCACAGTGGCTTGCTCTTCAAAATACTATTTGTGTTGGACACAAAAAGATCCCTTCCATATTCAGAGGGACACCAGTCCAAGTTATGGCCAATCAGTTACAATTTGTAGACTTTCAAGTTTAATCTGTATTTGTACAAAGATCTTAGATTTTGCAACATGGGAAGAAATTCCTTTCATGTTTAAGTTTTTTTCATTCAATGAAATTTCATGCCAAGAATAGTCACACAAATATATAAAGTAACAGTGACAACCTACAAATGCCTGTGGAATTGATCAAACATTTAACTTAGTGTGATATTTTGTGTACAATATAAAGAAGTTAACTCAGAATTTAGTTTAAAAAGTATAATTGTACACTAGTGTATGACTAATGAGTATGCAGGCCACCTTGTTGTGAGATTGATCAGGTTATTCAACTGAAGATGGTTACTCCAGTTTCATATTCTGTACAAATACATTTACCTTCTCTTGTACTTTTGTGTGAGGTGTTATACATTAATGGGCTCTAAGTATTCAGTGATATGATTTTTAATAGTTTGGAGAGTAAGCATAGTACAGTGTATAACATACGTAGGTATGAGCTCATAGCTTAATATTGATTCCTAGAAACTGCCGAAATTTAGAAGAGAACAAATGCTTACATGTACTAAAGCTTAGTTTTATTATTTTGTAGTGTTAGTATTTTCTCTCTTGATACACAGTAATAACTTTCCTTCGCTTTTCCTACTCAAGAAAATGTGGAATTACAAATCTTGAAGTTTATATTTTGTTTGGGGCTAACCTTTGTTGCTGTTTTATAGCTAACAAAAACTGTTTCTGATTATTTAGGTATTTTTCCAGTTATGCTTTTTTGACATCTGTTTCATTCTTTGTCAACTTGCTTTACACATAAACTAGCTTAAACGAGTAATATTTGTGGGTTCCATTTCAGTCTTTAATATTACATTGTTTCAGTTGATATAAGTTAAGTAAAGCTTTTTAAAACCTTGTTTTCATTCTAAAGGAGAATATTAGTTTTGAATGCTCAATTTGTTGTAAATAAATACTTCTATAGGATAGCTAAGGTATCTTTGGCTAACTCCATGTATATTCAGTTGTCAATGACAGATTTTTGAAAATTAAGCATTACCAACTAAACCAAAGGAAACATTAATGGTTTTTCATTATTTACCATTGGCCAAGCTTTGAGATATTTAGTTTTTTATCTGTCTCTCTATCTGTGAATATATAGCTCATAGAAGACTACATTTTTTTTTGTCAAATAAGAAAAGTTACCGTAGATAGATCACACTAGCTATATCTTTCTGTCTTAACATTTATTACTTGATAAAGTTCACATTTTAAAATTTGGATTAGATTTGTGTATTACATCCCTATATATGAAGCATTTTATTCATTTTATACTGTGTTTACTTGAGCTATTAAATCTAATAAAGGAGAAAATAATTATGTTGAGAATGAATTTATAGCAGGTGCTATTGTACATGGTAATATTAAAATGTTCAAAACAGTGACAGTAATAATGATTTTACAAGAGTGTTTGTAAACTGTTTCATTAGATTTTTTATAGTGTTATTTTGCTATAGAATTACCTGTTTCGTATAGATTTAAGGTTTCGTAAAAGACATTTTGAATCTTAAAACTACATTGCAGTTGTTTTTATTTAAAGGTATATTTTATTAATATTAGAAACTTTAAAAAAATTTCAGAATATTTAGAAATTAATCAGTAATTGAAATTTATTTCTTTAAATGAAAAAATATTAAAGAATCTCACGAAATAAACTTTCATTTGAATGTGTTTGTTTGTGTTATTCATATTTTAAATCAAAATAAACTGATCTGACATATAGAAAGTCAAATAAAGGCTTGTAGATAACTTGTAAGATGAAAAATTAAATTTTGTATATAATTTTTAGTTTAGCTTTTTAGCTTATATCTAAAACATTTGACACGCATCCCATTCTTAACTTTTTTTATTATTATTATTATTATTACTATCTATTGCAAAATGTCAAATGGAGTGTTGTTTAAAAATAAAATAGTTTTATATGGAAATGATTGTTAAAATTATCTTATGATGCATTGTAGTAATCTATGTAAGCCTTGTACAAAAACAATCAGTTCTGCTGGATAAGTTAATTGATGAACCACTACATCGATATAAAACATATGTAATTTTTGTTTACACAGAGTAAGTTTTACTTAAAGGAAAATGCTGTAAAATTTAGTAAATGTCATTTCAAAAATGTGTTTTCATATGAAATAGTTGTTGCTTTTAGTGCATTTGAAAAATGACCAGTTTACAAGTCTAAGCTAGTAGCATTATTAGGCTTCAATGTAGGAAGTTTAGTTAAATTTTAGTAGTTTCCTTTGGCATGAGACCATTCTTTTCAGGAAAGTTAGAGATTTTAAGAATATAGTTGTTTTAGGTTTAAAATGTGTGAATTAAATGGGTTATTAAATGTGATAATTGATTAGCCTACATAGATTATCTGAAGAAATCAGCAGTTTTAGTCTATCATATTTTTTTCTTGGAGTAAATTGCCACAGTAGCTTCACTTCCCTACATGTACCTTTTGTTTCTAAGATATTCAGATATATTTGAATGGTCTAGAAACATTTGGAATGACATAATTTCATAATGTGCCAATAATGTGTGAAAAGGTGACTAGTATTGACCTAAAGAAAAGTTAATTGTACTCCATAATATATACAAATTGATTGATCACTAACAAACACAAACTATTTCAGTTTTTACCAATAATGTTTTATTGAATTCAGGGTTCATTGCTGTTGAAAGTACATCAAGTAACTTAATAAGCCATAGAGTTGATGTGTAATTAACTCTGGAGGTTATTGAGTCAGTTGCTTTGAAATAGTATCTTCGTGTGAAGGTTTTGAAATTGTAGATTTTCCAAGTGTTTTTAATAGAATCTCTTGTTTGAGTCTTCCTAATTGACAATACCACATATGGAAAAGAGAAATTCCAGTTCAATTAATCATCTCATTGTTCATGCAATTCATTGCTTTGCTCATATACTAGATTAGCTGCTTTTTCAGTTGTATGGTTACTAAAACTCAATTTTTTTTTAAACATTAATATGCAGTCTATATTGTAATGGTGGCTTATTTAAGATGATGCATAAGATTACCATGAAATGAAGCAAAAAATGTACTTGTAATTAGTGAAAAAAATTTATTGTACAGTTCCAACTGTAAAATCTGTAATATTTTGATAACACTAGGTGCTTGATAAAGAAAGGGCTGTTTTTGTAAGTTTTGATCATCTTGTGGTGACATTATGCTGTCTTTAGGACATAAATGTAATTTTGGGATCACCCACAGTCCATTTTATACATTAGTAAAATTCTCTATGTTTATGTAAGTAAATAAAATGTGGTGTTCTTGAGGCAACTCTACATTATGTGTCTACAAAAGTCTTTATTCAGTGTTATTTGCATTTCTTTTTTATAGAAGAGAGAGAGAGAGAAAGCCATTGCTATCCCTGTTTATTCTATTTTTCTGTGATTTGAGTTTAATAAATTCTTAACCCTTTCAGTACAATTTCCTATTCTTGAAATGGAAATCAGAAGGTATGTATAAATGGCCAAGGATACATAAGGAATGATTTCTCCATTTTTTGGAAAAATTTTCTTACTCATGGTTTCTGAAATTTGGAAATGGAACATGTGTTCTAACAGGCATTGATGTTGGGTTACATGTGTTCCAGAAAACATTTTAAAAATCTATTCTGAGGCAACGGTAGTGCAAGAACAGCTTATAATCAAAGTTTCATTTGTCCATCAGTCCTGCACTAATATCTGCTGGAAAAACTATAATTCAACGGTACTGAAAGGGTTAAGTAGTTTTCAAGTAGTTAGATTTGATTTAGATTTTTAGTAACTATCAAGTTCCTACTAGAACTTTAGATCATGGGTTTCATTATTGAATATTTAACTATTCACAGAAGGAAAAACTTGTCTCTTCATCATTGCTTCTATTAGCCTCTAGATTTACTTGTATATTTAAGGAAATACTGAACAGTTTTTATACAGATTTGTAGGTAAAGTACTTTGAAATTTTTAACCAAAATTATTCAGAAACATCACTCTTAACTGTAAAAAAAACAACAAAGGACTAGTTTTTGTTTTCTTTTGTAAGCAATAAAGATTTTTCTATTGGTTTAATCCATTTTTCTCTTAGTGCTGTAATGGTTACAAATACAGCCAGTAAACTGTAGTTGAGTATAACCTTGTTGAATTTGATGTAGTATTTACAATGCAAATTTTATCTGCCTAGATAACTGTAGAAAAAGTGCCTAAAAATACATAAGCTATTAATTTTTTCTAACCGATATATAGATTACCTTGGTCACTTGAGAATGTTTTCCTTTGGTCTTTCCTTTTTACTTATTTTGAAACAGACAGTGTTTTCAAAAGTTTATGAAGGTAGGACATCACGTGTCTTAGCTGATATTCTTTAAAGGTATAACCTGAGTACAGGAGTAATTGGAACATAAATGTGTATATGTATGTCAGAGTACAAAGTAGTTACCAAAGGTTTACATAATGCTATATTGTTGATTATGAGTTTATCAAATGAAACAACTTTATGGATTATCTTTGAAATTAACCAAAAAAAAAAGGAATTGAAGGAAAATTATTTTCATTAGAAAAAAAAGAAGAAACTTGTTTTTAACTTTCTTAAGATATTTTTAGTTGTGCTATTTTGCATACGATAGTTACTTTACTAATTATTTAATTTATTCAGTACATTCATTAAAGTGTTTCACTTTCTGAATTGACGTTGAACTATATTGTAAAAATTTTACTTCCTTATGCAAATTTATACATTGATACAGCTGTAATTAAAAGTGTTATTGTATGCACGTTGTTTAATCCAGTGTTTAGTCTCTGTTGGTTTAGATTTTGTAAGCACATGTCATTAAAAGGTGAACAGTTGTTCTCATGCTGTCTACATTGGTGGTTCCCATCTGTGGACTAACTAATTCTGATCACAAAATTTCATGGACTGTTTTGTACAGTATTAACTTTTTAAATTACATTGACAAGCAAATTACTTCAGTAGCTATATTCTAAAATATTTTTTTCTACTGTTTTGCGGATTGGCTGAAATCTGGCTTGTGGATCGTTACTGGTCCATGAACCTATGCTTGGGAACCACTGGTTTAAAAATGACAGGTACAGGAAAACATTATCATTACCAAAAGGTTATCACTTACTTTGATTCTTGTTTTGTTTTCATGGAAAACTGAAATACTAGTTAACTAATGCAACATTCATCTCTTCACGTGTACTTGTACCCAGCTAATGTTTTGTTATAGACCGCTTTTTGTGAGATTATGTAGGTTATTTCCTAATGAGAATTCATAGAAATTATTGATGAATCAGTGACCATTTAGATTGATATGTAAAACAAACCTGTACAAAACTTTGTTATTAAATCCTCTGGTCAAGTGGTGTAAGGCTCAATATTTTTTTTTCCAATTACTATTGTTATATTGTTCGTATTTAAAAAGAATGTATCAACCTTAGGAACAATCATCAACAGAAAACTGTGATCTTGTTAACTTTAGTAACCCGTGAAAAATTATCAGTATTTGAAAAACTTGTCTGCGTTTAACTATAATGAAACTTAAAAGTACAAACAAAACGGTCAAATAATGGCCGATGGAAGCTACTGTCTTACTAACCCTGGAATTTACACATCTTCAATCTCTGGTAATGACACTCAATTATAATAGTTATTAAAATACCATTTAAATTTGTAAATTGTTAGTATTTTTAAATGTTTGTTTGCTAGTAATATATGGTGTAGAACTTACACTATACAAGCAAGTTTTACTAGATCTTCCTTTGCTATTAAGCAAGTACAAAGTAACTTGTATTCACCAGAGAAAGAAAAAACATCATGCCACTCTACATTGCTATAGCAAGTCAAGAAATATGTATTATGAATAAAGTCAAGGATCATAAAGTTACGGATGCCATGACCTGGTGGTGAGGATGCTTAACTTTGAATCTGTGGGTTGTGGGATCAAGCATCATCACAGAACATTCTCAGTTGTGGTGGTATTATAATGTGATGGTAAATCCCACTATTGGTAAAGAGTAGCCAAAGAGGTGAAGTGGGTGGGGTTGACTTCCCCCTAGTCTGTCGCTTCAAAATTAAAGACGACTAACATAGATGGCTTTGACTAGCTTTGTGCAAAATTATACAAATTTAGAATTTTGACACAATTCTGCACTCGTACTAGTGGATCAACGGTAAGTCTAAGGACTTTCAATGCCAAAATCAAGGGTTTGATTCCCGTAGTGAACAGAATGCAGATAGCCTATTGTGTATCTCAAAATTAAAACAAACCTCGTACTGTTACAATTCTGCTTTAAATATTGACAGTTGCCATAGGATGTATGACTGCAATCCTTACATGCTTTTCACTTAAGCATTTGACTGAGAATTTTGCATTAGACAAATTGGAGTAAAATGATAAGTGACGATGAATAACAGTTATTAATCAGCTTGAAAATATACGTAACTTTCGACTCTGCCCTGTTGAAATCTCACGCTACGTAGTTAACGTGAACCCAACTCTTTGGTGAAATACACCGGTGAATCCTGCAAAACAAATAAATGTGTGGGAATTA